GGAAGAGCTCTCCCTTCTGTCTTATTCTCTATATTGAATAATCATACCTCCTCAGAGAAATTTACATACGTCTCCCACACTTTCTGAGATAACATTTAGCAAAACCTCAATGGATAATTCATACTACATGCTATTCCTGAGTGAAACTGCTGGAATCCTGCACATGGATATGAATTAAAATGAGTTAATGCTGCTTTCTTGGAGACTGTTATGTCCATCCAAATTAGGCTATACAGTATCTTCTGGACATTTTTATTTTTTTTCTCAACCAAAGCTACAAAACACACTTTTTTTTTCTGGGAAGGCTTAGACTTTGTTTTAGCTCGCCTTTGTGGATGTGTGAGCTGCTGCCAGTTCCTGTTGCCGCCGTTTCCTCTGCAGGATGAAAGGTTTAAGGTTCAGGCTCTTTAACACTCAGCCAGGCCACAAAGCAGCCATGAAAGAAGAGGAAAGGAGTAGATACGGAGCGGAAACAGGAGAGAGGGGAGGTGCAAAAGGAATTGGGTTGAGAGTACAGAAAGACACAGAGAGGGAGGTGGTACATGCAGATGTAGAGACGTAGGTTTGTAATGACCTCGAACTGTGCGTGAAAGTGCGGGTTTATCAAAGTGCTTGTTTACAGTGTCGGTTCATTTAAATTACAACAAGAACATTTTCTCACTTATCTTTAGTGTTATTTGAAAACTGCTCCTAGTGAGGTCGTCCAATTATCCAGCGTAACTGGGCCACTGTCGCTGGAAATAATTTCTGCTGTTTAATTTGGCAAATGTCACTTTTCAATGCTTTGAGCACCATAAACAAAGTTCTTTTCTCCTCCATTGTTTCAGAATCTGGAAAAATCTTAATTATCAGCACGGCTGAATAGCCAATAAGAGTAAGTGAGAAAATTAAATAGTGAACTGACCCAGCAAGTGAAATGACCAATGTGTTTCTACTATAATCTTCTTACTCGATTTTACTTCCAAAAATTGTTTGGGAAGCTATAAATTGTCAGTGAATTATAAACGATGGCAACTCCTCATTTTTATGCATTAGCTGAACATACAGTGTATGAGAAATAGCCTTCCCGTAAAGACGCGGCTTTGGGAAAAATAAGCACTCTGGAGAGCCACTTGCTAAGATTCAAAACAAGCTGTATTTCTCTCAGTTACCCCACCTGTCCGTGTAATGTCACCTGTATGTCAAAGTAAGTAGAATTGAACTACAGCAAGACTTAGTCGCTCTGTTTAAAAAGTAGACTATGTAAACACTTTAGGTTTAGGCGATGGTAAAGGTTATGACTCATCAAAGAAACTTAGCTAATAGCTGTGGCTCCATCACCGTTATGGATTTCTTAGGATGGACCACTTGTGTTCCACTGTGATCTATTACAGGCCACTGTGCCCTTTTTTTCCTTTTCCGTTTGTACAGTCAATGCATAAACCTATTTATATAATGTTGGATTAATACAGGGCATAAGGAGCAGATTGGTTTGGATGGCTCTTCATCTCGGGTATATCACTGTTAGTAATGTGTATGAGTGATTGGGTGGTAGGAGTTGAGAAATGATCTCATGCAGAGATACTCCATAAATCCCACTCATTATTGTTTCCTTACTTGGTGTGCAGTCTTGCTCCATAAAGGGGCAAAGCCAAGGGTGCTCTAACTGTCAGGGGAACGGCGAGCTGATGAATTACCTTTTAAAGATATCAGAGAGAGGCGCGATTTTCGTGAAAGATGAGCCCAACACGGCGCTCGGAGGCCCTGTCTGCCTGTGTGAGCATATTTCCCCCCCAGGGGAAATTTGTCTTTTTATCAACTGTCCCGAGAAGTCACAGCCTAGCCTCACTGAATAAATCAAAGAGAATTAGTTTGCTGTGTTCTCTTATCTCTGATGTGCCAGTTTCTCTGTGGCGATCACCTGCAGATGTGTGTTTCTGTGTGTGTGTTTGCAGAGTTGGCCTGACAGTAAAGGTGGCTCACATCTCCATCTGACTGGTTTAGTTTCAGATGGCAACATAAACACACATACACCATGGTCCGTCTTATTACCCTTGATTGAAAGACCAAGACTGAGCAACACTTCCTGCCACCATCAGTAGATATGTCATGCACACACAAACTTTCAGGAAACGCACTGTAGCTGCGGCTGATAATCCTTCTTGCATAGCCAGAGTTTGTTTGACACCTTGATGTTAGTCAAGGTAGCTGAGATAGTTTTAAACAGAGGTTGCAGGGTGTCTCTTTGCCCTTGGCCTGTCTGGGACACCTATCATTACAGACCCAGTGCCTCTCCAGATAAGAGCACCCAGGACTTCACAGCACACAGGCTGCCGCCGCAGCAACCTGCTGTGATAGCTCGTGCTTAAAGGATAATACTTTTTACACATTAATCAGATGGCTTTTTGACCACAGAGTATTGCACATCGCCAGATGAAATTGAAATGCATGGTTTGGTTCCCTGATAATCTCCACACAAACATCAGTAGAATATAGCCACTGGTCTCGCTGCAGTGAATCGGGAGTCATGGGAACGACTGCGGCAAGTTTGAAAATTCTTGGTCAAAATGGCAGTGACAGCGAGAGTCTCACTGATTTCTCTCTCTCTCTCTAGTTCCCTCTTTCTAGTTCTTCAGACCATCTGGATTCCTGGCAAATGTAAACACTGTCTTATGAGAAACGGAAGATAAAGCTGTTTTACTTTCTAATTCTGGCAGAACGCAATTACGTTTGCAGCAGAAATGTCCCTGGCACACATTCTTCAGGGATGAGTCGTCAGATAACCACACAAGAAAAAGCTGACAAAGCGTTGGATTTGCAAGATAGAGAATATTGTTTTCCAATCAATCAAAAGTGATGTTTTGCAACGATGGTGAAGCCTAAGCTGCCTTCACAACTCCAGCTATACAACCTGTTTTTCACCAGCTAGCTGTTCCCCTACTAAGCAAAGGACAAAGGTGGTCTGACATTGTTACAAAATATAAAAACACTTAAATTCTTTGACCTCAATCATGTCTTAGATTCTGCCGGTTGCAATTTAGGAGTTTAAAATGAAGCTTGTTTAGTGGGGTTTTTTTCTCTCCTTCCCTCATGGGTGAGAAATTGCCTTTTTGAGCTGTGAAAGCAGCCACTCATTCGTGTTAATTTCTGTGTTGCTTTCCATCAATCGTCCTCCCCCTCTCTCTGAGTTTTTATGTTTATCCCCATCTGTAGGGCTGCCTCTAACCTCCTCCATTCTTCCTTTGTGTTTATGTCTATGAATTTTGAGAAAAACATGTTGAGGAGCTCCCTTTGGTGATGGCAGCAATTTGGCTTTCATATATTCCTATCCTCCAGACACTGCTTAGTGCTGCTGTAGTGAGTGTGCGCACGTGTGTGTGTGCGAGCGTACGTTTGTTTTACAGGATGCTAGAGAGTAATGAAACTCTCTTGTTTTGAGCTACGCTTTTAGAGAGAGAGTTTGGCGACGTGGAACTGAGCATTTGGCTGAAAATATAAAAAAACAATATTATGATGTTTAGGTACACTCGTGAATGTGATTATTCAGTGTTTCAGTGTCAGAGTGTTTCAGCTTACAGTAAAGGAGGTGAGCAATGCGTCATTAAGCATTGCTTACCTCTAAAAAGACAGCTCATCGAAGGCTGAGCACTAGATAATGGTCGTTTACTTGTGCAAAATTCAAACAAGGAGTTGAAAAAAGCAGGACTTGTCAGTTCAGAGGCTTCTCCAGCTTTGGTTGGCTGAGTAATTAAATCAGAGAAGCGAGTGAAATTCTCCTCAGCCCAGTGCCTCGTCTTGTTTCGTCTTTAATCAGGTGGCTATTAAACCTCTGCACTCCCCATCTTCTGACTTCAGCTTAGCTATTAAACTTAGACTGAAGGCATGTGTGTGCGTGTGTGTGTGTGTTTGGAGGCATGATGTTTCCTGTTGTAAGGATAGAAAAAGCAAAGAAACAGGAGGACAATTTAAATACAATATAAGTTACAAGAGTCTGAGGTGGGCAGGAAACAGCACATGCTGACGTGGTCGTAGTGTTATTCCACCATCACCAGTAGTGTGTTATTCCACTTCTTGTTGACTAGATGATGAATACCTCTCTCCACAACCATAAATCCATTTCACACAGTACCACTGACCTGTGAGATATATCTGTGACCCTGCGTTTTAACTCAAAACGCACACGTTGACGCATCAAGCTGCACATGCACAAGCAGGCCAGTACTTTTTTTCACCCCTTTCTCCTCTCTTCTCCTCCCAACACGTTCATGGACATTTTTAGAAACTGTTTGGATTTCGCTGATATCAAAAATTCAGAAGTGGCTTCTGCCTCTACGTGCTGCGAGTGACATATGACCTCCTCCAAGGTCATCTCAGATTCCTCCTCTGGACTCCTCAGAGATCCCACAGATTAGACTGATGCCCTGCTCAGATGGCTACCGCCGGCCGAGCTGCCTGCATATATCCATTCTTATGTGCTCAGCTTACTGCTGCTGGCACGGACAAGGTTGTTCAGCAAGGAGAGCTGACCTTTGGGTTACTCACAGAGAAAACCTGGTGTTTTGCACTTTGTTTACACTATATTTAGTCCTCATTATTTGAGTTATTGATTTAAAAATCAATTTATATACGTGTTTAATGAAACGTGAAAAAAATCAATAATGCAAAACTGGGTTGAAATCAGATTATAAAAAGCTATTTTCAGCAACTGTAGTTTAAGCCTTTATTTTTTCCTGACTTACTTTGAGGGACTATGGCATATAATCAGCAACTCATTTACATTTCCTCTCTATTTTTATTTCTTTTCCTATAACCAGAAGCATATTCTGAGTTGTGCTCATCACAAGACCTAGTTATTCTGAAAACTTTTTTATTTAGATTTATAGTGTCCTATTAGGTGAAAAACTGTTGCTTAAACTTTATCTTCTCCATTTTTCTGTGTAAACTGCTCAACCAGAAACCAGTGAGACTTCATTATATTTGCCAAGTCACTATTGGCAGTCTGATTGTGTGTGTTCCTACAGCTCCAGTCATCCTAAATGAGTTAAACTGGACCCAGGCGCTGGAGAGGGTCTTCATTGAAAACCGTCGGGAGGACAGCTCTCTGCGCTGGCAGGTGTTTGGCAGTGCCACAGGAGTGACACGATACTACCCAGGTAGGCCACAGGGTACTGAGTCAACAGTCTGCCTTATAACTCTTGGCAAGATAAAGTCTAAATTGACCCTAGGGCCCCTCAGCTGCAGAACATTGGCAATCTCTTATCAGATGGCTGTACTGGTAACTCGATAGACAGAATGAAATGATGATTACTTTGATCTAATCTGAAATATCCCTCAGCACACACTGTACAGCCTCTAACTTATTTTCTTGCTCTCTCCAGCCACTCCATGGAGGGCGCCCAACAAGATTGACCTGTACGATGTCCGCAGAAGACCATGGTAAGCGACCTCTTTCTCAGGAAGTCCATTCACGCATTCAAGTGTTTGGTCTCCGCATAATATTAATGTGATTTTTATTTCTTTTCTTCCACTGTTAATGCCTTCTGTCTTCCGGGGCAATAATGGTGAACAAATTGCACTGGTATTGTCCTTAACCCTGGATGCCCCATACTTCTGAATAATGTTGCTCAGAAATGTTCTTTCATCGTCCAAGAAACCAAGCTCAGGCCAGCTTTTAGTAATAAAATAATAAGAAGAGTTGCGTTTTGTATCAGGAAGTTTACTCACTGATTTGGGATTTACACACTCAGTTTAAGTTTGACTTTAACTTAGTAGCATCAACAGATATCATCAAGTGCATTATGGGAAGTTTATTAATAATAAGTTATTATTATGGGACTAAAATTTTGATAGCCCTAGATGTGTTAAATTCTTATATGTATTTGCCCTTTTAAAAGAATACATATTAAAAGTTTCTATACTAGTCCAGATGAGTATTGGTAGGCATGAGTTTTGGTCATCAGATGAGTTCAGCTGAGCGTTGAGAGTAAAGGGGATTGTGTAGCTCAGAGCGGACAGCCTCTAACCGATAAAAACAGCAGCACCAGTAGAGTAAAAGTGCAGAAAATTACAGAAATTTTACCTGTCATTGCAACACCTGTGTGCTGTCAGCAGCTGCACTGTCATGCTGTCTTAAAATGGTAACAAACTGTTGTGATCAGATCTGAGTCCACACACATGGTGTAAACACATTTGTTTTTTGCTTTGGGTGTTATTCCGGAGGGCTAATCTTGTGTCCGTACATGTTGCCACTGCACATGCCTTTTGTTGTTATATTTAAGATAATTTGAGGTCTGTTCATCCTAACAACCTTAAAAATTCTTTGCTCAGTGTTGGAGTGAAAAGGAGCAACCTACTTACATACAAGTGTTTTAAATTATTTCATGTACTTACTTTACCTCACTTCACTAAAATACTGTAAGCATCAATGCAGCTATAATAAAGAAAACTGACAATTACTTTATAGCAAACGAGTTTAAAAAAGGATATAATCTTTTAAATATTTTCCTAAACTGGCTGCCTGAGGCATATCTGCACATTAGAGGGTATGATTGTGGCCACATGTACAAAATAAAGGCTCTTAAATACAGCCTTGCATTGGGATTCCTGTACACTGTTTGGTCTCTAGCTGCTGTCAACCTTCTGTGCTCCTTCCAGCCCAGAGCTAAATAAAGGATATTGTTTAATGGAATGAGATAAAAACGTTTTCCTGACCTGTGTTTATCTCGGTAAGTGATAATGTTGATTGCATTGTTTGTTTTGCTATGAGGACAAAACAAGATAGGGGGCTAATGTTTTTGTTTAAAGTGCCCACCTTTGCCTGTAGTTCTCTGTGCAACAGCTGATCCCTGTACAGAGTGCCGGGTCGGGCGAGTGTGACGGGCTGGACAGAACTAGGCTGCACCGGGCCAAACAGTGCCTTCCCCCAAGCTTCCTGTCCACCCTTCCTCATTCAATCTACCTGCCACTGTCACATCAGCTTTGTGGCAGACCTGCCTGTTGCCTGGTTACAGGTTGGAGTGAAGTGGACATAATCATGACAGCAATGTTGATTAGACCTGACCCGCTTTTCCATCTCTGTCTCGGTCCCGCTCAACCTGAGTGGCTGTTTGAGGTCAGGCCAGGCTTGTCAGATGAAGTCAACGAGCTCAGACCAAACAAACCAAATACAAGCAAAAGAACCCTTTACACATTGAATTTGTATGAAACTCAACATTTAAAAAGATACACAAGCTTGACATCTTCAAATTTAGCCACGTGTGAAAGAGCTTGAATGCAGTCATCTTTCGAAATAATGTGGCATTTAAAGGCGAGGTTCAATTAATTGATTCACAAAAACATAGAAATTTGCTCCCATCCTAATTACAAAAACATATGAAATAAATACCCATGAAATAAAACTATAGACAAAAACAGAACCATCTAAACAACAATATAAAAACAAATTAAGATAAAAAACAAGTTAAAATCACAGTTTACATCCTCCTCACTTGAGCCAGAATTTTTGAGCCATGCAAATTGAAGGTATATTCAGATACAACTGAACTATTTGAAAATGATAGCAGGTTCTTATTGAGATGACACTACATTTAGATTGTACCTTTTAATGAGCCCACCATTTATCTATAGTACAATCATCAGACGGGGTGTTCCCTGAACAACTAACACCAGTCTCAAGTCTCGTTAGTGCTCCATTGGCACAGTACCTAAGTATATACATGAAAAATGTTGTAAAACACAAGGCACTGTGTAGCAGGCCAAGTTAAAAACAGCAATCCTGTCTCTGATCCATCAGCCTGAAACCAAAGTACACCCGAGTTTAATTCTCTTACACATGTTTTGACATAGGGACTCTTCCCGGAGACAGGAAGGAACAAGGAAAGAGAAAGATGATGGGAATTCTAAGCGGCAGCAGCGTGTGTCACAAGGTTAGACAGAGAAAGGGGTGTATTTTTTTGTGCCAAGGAACACCTTGTCACCCCCCTGGTCCTCCATGTGTGTCACTTCTGTCGAGCCTTTCCTCATGTCAGAGCCTTCGACATTCCTGTTGCCCGTTGCTTAGCAACTTGTGCCCAGCCGCACTGAGTGGCGACGCCGTGGCAGGGAGTGTCATGATCTGTCAGGTCAGACTTGTGCGATTATAGTCTACATGCTGTCTCGCCAAACTAACGTCCTCTGGAGAGTGCGGCCAATCACGCATGTTACAAAACAGTCCTCTGCTGTTAGGTAAGCCCATCATGCGTGCTTATGTGACAGCAGGAGATAGCAGCGTCCGTCACAAGGACAGTAACACAAACAATGACATGAGAATTTACACTAGTCATACGGATCCTGTTGGTGTTAAAGTCAAACTGAAATTTGGATACTTACTTCTTTTTTAAAACAGTTTTTGACATGTTTCTGGAAACCTCATCAAAGCCTCAAAAGTCTGGTTGAGTGTTTTCCCATGGCAGCAGTTGAGTGACATCTGAGAGCCGACATTGCAGCGCCACCAACTTACGTGGCTTGTGGCTGAAGCACGTCATTTTGAATAGCCTGTGAAAATCGATACAAATCATTCTTAGCTTGTAACAGCAAACCGCTGAGGATGCTGAATTGAGCTAGGGTGTGTTTTATTTTATTACTTAATAATATAGCTTTTCATTTGTAAGAGAATTTTTTATTTTATTTTTATAACTTTAAAGTTACACAGTTAAGCTGTGCTGTTCAGTTTATATTCCACTCGTAAAGTGGAAGCTAGCAAGCTAGGCTAATTAGCCTCAGAAAATGCAAGCTAGCCAACGCCAATGTTAGCACTGATTTCCACTAAATGTTTATTATTTGTTCATGTTATTTCAACACCTAATGAGTCATTGGTAGCTCCCACACAGGCAGTGTTAATCCCGTGTTATACAAAGTAAGAGGGTGTAGCTAGTGTTAGCTGTCTCTCTTTCATGGGTCCAGTTGTGGTGATACTGTCAAACTTCAGCCCTGTAGCCCCAGTACTCCACAGTAGTAAGTTTCACAGTGATTCAGTTGTACGAGTAATGAATGAAGTAATATTGCAAAAAATAGTACCTACCCACACAGATATCAGACCAATTAAGTGACCAGTTCCGACATTGTCAGTTGTACCAAAAATTCACGCCCCCTTGAGAACAGTAATTTAGGGAGCACTACATGTCACTGCAGAAAAATAAGTCACTTTTTTGGGCAATTAAAGTTTTGACTAAATAAGTACACAAGTCAAAATGAAGGATAAAAACGCTTAAACGACATACAGGCAAAAATTATGATATCCACTTATGTATATATATATTAGTAAATAATATAAACACACACGGTCTCACACATCCTCCCACACACCTATCAACACTCCCCTCACAAACTCACAGATACATTAGATCACATGTGCTGATATGCCATATAGATACTGCAGCTTCACAAATACCACTATAGCAACTGGAATACACAGATGCAATCTCACGAACATGCTTCAGTAACATTTGCACTTACGCTGTCTCTGGGAAGAGTCATCGAGTCAAAGATGTGATTTACTATGCAGAGCTAAACTAGCGGCCAGGATTCATGGCCAGTTTGTAGCGTAACAGACCTGTAGCTTTTCCTGCAACGGTTGGATGGCAGCGTGGCTGAGCAGGTGCACCTCTGAGGAAAAAGATCGGAGGGCCGCCTGCCTCTACAGATGGGCTCTCTCCCCGTCTGCTCCCCCACCAACACCCCCAGGAAAATTAATGGTCCAGTCAACACATTTAATTGTCTCCAATTGCTCTGACATTAATTATTAACATTTGTCCATTATAATGTCTGTTCATGTTATCAAGGGAAGCGAAACAGAGGATGAAGTGAGGTAGAGGAAAAAGTGTGAGGGCAAAGAGAGAAATAACCAGAGACAGGCATGGAGTCCTGTTAGCCAAGCGTTACAAAGATCCCATTACATTCTAGGCCCACAACAGCATGTAGTCTGTATCACATATTGATTTCTTCAAAAAGTCAATCTAACCTCTTTGTAAATATTATGACTGCTGGTCAATCCTCGAAGCTGAGGCTCCCCAAAATACCATTCCCAATATCTGAAGCTTTGCATCCTCCTCCTTTCATTCTCTTCACCCCACTTCAGGGAGAAGCAGAGTCAAAAGAAAGACCAGTGTGTGTTATTTGCGAGACTGAAGGTGACACGAGGCTTTAGCAGCTTTAGTCTCCAAAAAATATTTGACATTTCAGTTTCAGCCAAAATGTGAGGGACACAGCAGGAGACGTTTTATTCCATCTCGCAGAGCAATAGTAACAGACTAACACTTGTCTGCTAATAATTGATGCTGATATATTCCGGTATGCATGATTAATTCAATATTCTGTACTTTTTTCAGAAAGGAAAGTGGTTGAAAATTTTAGCATAAAATTCTGTGTGCTTTTCTTCTAACCGAAAATATGGAAATGTG